AGTATAGAATGGTGTTTTATCACGATATGAAAATCGAGTCATATAGATAGATTACACAAAAGCTTTCATTTTGCCTTTCATTATGTCTGAAAATGCTTCTAAAGAAACAAATAATACTAGCTTTCTTGTTCTATTTCCTATTATGAAGAAGGTTTGCTATCGTGCAATATAGTACTAAGCTTAGGCCTATCAGAAACACTAAAATCGCATAGAAAAAAGTCTTGACATCTCCTGAATAGACCTTAACCAAATTGACATGGACGAAAATAAAAATCCGAGTTCAAGTCTCGGAAGAGGTTGATATGTAATTTCGTTTTTAAATTCTTGGTAAGATTCTTTTTCTTTTGCGTAAAATCTATAATACATATCAAATGTGAAAACACAGGGATTAAACGAAACTTATTCTAAATCTCTTAAAAGTCAACCAATCTGAGGTAGACTACGTGACGACATTTTCCCTTGAGTTTAATATTTTGTTATGACTACAATGAAACCAAGGGAAAGAAAAAAATAAATGTGCGTAACGAATGATCTTTAGAAGTTATGCCTGATTGGTTCGTTTGATGAGCATTGCATTCTCATGCATGAGTATTGCTGATGTTGACACATTTCCTGCGCATGCCTGGTAAATAGAAACGCGCATATCAGAGCAGTGATTCGGAGTCATGATGATTATAATTTTATTTCGGTGTTGGTTGTTAAGAGTAACTAATTTAACATTTTAGTCACTGTCCTCACTGACATTGTCATTATAATCAAAATTATACATCGTTATTGTCATTGATTGACATCGACGTTAATTGCCATAGTCATTACCATATTTATTATTAGCCTTATTATTACTATTAGGCCTATTATCATAATATCATTGCCATCATCATAATTGATTTTAAGCACATTAAAACAATAATCATTGACTCGTTGAGATAGGAATTGAATTGCACTGCTTTATGAGAAAAAATGCATTTCTACAAGCCTAATGAACTTACCGTCCCTACTAATGGGTAATATGCCTATTCGTAGTGTAGGAGAAAGGTGTCTAAAATTCTCCGAAATAGAACGGGCCCCATATGTTCTGCTGGCACCTTAACAAAAAACTAAAATACCCGCATTTCATCGAATAAACGCCCCGCTTTGAATAAACGCCCCGGTCCCTCTAGAACCTCATTTGGATTAAACGCCCCGAGGCGTTAATTTTTCCTCGATAAGCGACCACCAACCCCCCCCCCCCCCCCCCCCCTACACCCCTAATGGTAAACAAAACTAGTGGGAGCAACGTTATTTTCAACACATTCTATTAATGTCCTACTATACTCCAGTAAGAATGCTATTTTTTCAACTGGTTGGGATCAATGAGTTATGATCGCGCAATAACGCATTTTGACGGTAATTGTGTAGGCCTTCCAAATTCTATGAAAGTATCTAAATTTTACTGTTTTGCTATTTCTTGAATGGATGACTTGATAGATTATGTAAGTGGTCCGAAGTTTGGAATTTGTATCTTAATCCTAATAAATGCTCAGTTCTTTCTACTATTCTTAAGAAAGTCCCTTAATTATAGTTTGAATGGTGTGAATATCAACAGGGTGGATGTGCATAAAGATTTGGGTGTCTTGATTGACTCTAAATTTAATTTTAATCACCATGTTCATACTATTGTCTGTAAAGGAAACAAAATGTTGGGTATATTTTGGCGTAACTGCAAACCCATGGACCATAAAACTGAACTCCGTCTTTATGTTTCGTTGGTTAGACCTATTTTCGACTATTGCAGCCTAATTTACAATTCTATTTCAGTATCTCAGTCCAATCGTATTGATAGGGTTCAATCAAAGTTTATGTATTTCATTAATCATAGTTTTTATAATGATCCTAATTTGGTTCCGTACTCTCTTCCTGCACTTAGTAAGAGAAGAAATTATTTTGATATGGTTTTTCTTTTTAAGTGTATGAATTCTGTTTTTGATACTAATTTAGGCCTATGTTCTTTATTTTCTCTTAAAATTAATAGACAAAATTCTCGCTCTAAAGATTTATTTATGGTTCCGTTTAACAGAGTTAATTGCACAAAAAAGGGTTTCATTCATCGTTTAGCTTTTACTTATAATACTTTGTTACATGAAGATCCTACTTTTGACATATTCCATCAAAATTTAAGTTCATTTAAAACCAGTTTATTACATGTGCATGCATTTACATGATTGATCTGATTGGGTTTGGGCTGGGGATGCTGAGTGTTTGGTAGTCTGTGGGTAGATGTGCGTGTGTGTGACTTGTGACACTGTTTCTTTTTTGTGTGTTTTTCTATTTATGTCTTTGTTATATTTATATGCTTGTAAATATTCTATGACATCCTGTTATTGGCAAGTAATTGCTGTTGGATGTGGTTTTTGAAATGAAGAAAGAATAAAGAAATAAAGAATAGTGTTGTGTAATCGGTTTCATTTAAATATTGTAGATAGACATATTTCGTCCATATTAGTTTTGGTTTATTAGTAATAATTACATTTGTGGCAGTAATCAGGTTGCGATCAAATGACTAATTTTATTCAATTAAATTTAAAATAAAAATTAGTAGACAATTAGGCCTGAGCCTATTCAGTTGTTGAATTTATAAGATCCAAATGTAAACGAAAATAAAGCCTACAAAGGATAGTCCAGCTTCATTTCAATTAGTTTTCTCTCAAACAATAACGCATAAAAATAATATAATTCATAACATCTAAAAGCCAATTTTAAACTACAATTATAACAGATGGCAAAAGTTGGAACTCAGAAAAACAAACCCACAGATTTTTGTTTGCACATAGCGCCCTCATTGTCTTACCCCACTGAGCAAAAAAAAAGAAGGCAGCGGGGCGCTTCGTCGTCGGTCCCTATGCTTCTTCTTTCCCCGTGCTCTTTATACTCATCTTGCACGGACAACTTCGCTTTCGGCCTGGGAATTTTGAATGATATTTGTAAACAAATAACGACGTTTATATTTACATAGTTTCGAATGTAAGCATTACGTTAAAAAAACAGTTATTTTATACACAATTTATCTGTAAATTAATGAATATTTTCGTACAATTTCATGACCATAAAGCTTCTAATCTCCTTCCTAGCGTACGTAGGCTAGCTAGCCTAGTTAGAACAACTCCCTGGGCTAGGTTAGATTGGATTACAGTAAACGAGGCCTATGACGCGCTTACGTTCAGGCCTAGCCTAGGCCTGCCCTAGCTAGCTAGAGAGAGGCCATGCTTAGTGGCCGAGTTTGGTCGGAGTTTCGAAAACATTATGAAAAGATTCGACTTTTGCAAATTGTGCAAGCTAATTAAATAACTAGGGCCTAGGCCTACCTTAGGCCTAGCCTAGCCTCTATAACAAGTCCTTTCAACAACACAGTTTTCAAACTCTGTTCTGCAAGGAATTTTTTGCTGCAGAATTTGAAAAATGCAAAAATGTGCACAGTTTGTAAACTGTGCAAGGATAATATTGCACAAATTGGTTACTACAATCTATTACTCCTGATTACTATGGAATATGATCGCAACAAATCACAACAAATTCCACAGGCACTGAAGATTGGCTGAGGTCAGTCAACATAGGCCCTAGCTAGGTCTATGCCACCAGAGACCTAGTACTGTTTGACCTCCCGTTCCAATATAAAGTTTTAATTTGTGATTGCAATCAGGAGTAATCAGTCTTGGATTACCATGGATTACGTCACAACTGATCATAACAGAGGATAGCCTGAATAGGGTATATATATATATATAACAATCTTATCTATTGATTTTTTATTTCTTTAGAAACTAGAGTTCTTACCATGTACCGGGGAGGTTCAGGCAGCCAACCAAGGGAGCCTAGTATGGGGAGTAGTTACAACAATGTTAGGCCCCCAGGATATGCAGGCATTGCACAGATTGAGAAAGCCACAAGGCTGGTAAAACGACACCGTTCAGAGCAAGAGTAAGTACTGTATGTATGTTCACCAAGGAGGTACTGTAAAGCTTGGTTTCCATACAATCGCTACACACTATCATCAACAGCTTTCAGTGATGCTGATTGATTAGTCAAATTGGGGTGCCTTCCCAATTGCGTCGGGGCACTGAAAACACTGTAGCAATTTTAAGGAAACCAGGCTTAATTAGTACTAGTAGTCCTTGTCTGCATTAAAAATTATGATCATTGACTTGATATGTAATCATCTGTGCAAATGATGATGGTGCTTACCTTAAGTGAAACGGGTGATGTGATACTGATATTGATTGATGAGGCCTACTCATGATGATGATATTAGTTGGTGTGATTAGGAAGATGATGATGCTGAATATAAATTTGAATATAATTTTTATTTTCTTGGCAGTTATTTTGATGACAGTGATCCAGAAGAGAGCGCAGCTCCCACCGGAGGAGACGACAGTGATGAAGAAGACCCTTTGGATGCCTTTATGGCAGGCATACAGGTAAGCTAGTGTTAAATGCTTTTATCTTAGATACATAAAATTCCTACTTTTGAGCAAAAAAATCATGTTTTTTTCTTCTGATTAGTCCAGTGACTTACTTTTACTGCCATATTTCTGAGGCTGCAATTCCATCACTAACACATGATAAACACCATGTACTGTACAATGTCACCTAATTTTAAATTGTACTAGATTCAAACCCTGTGAATGTAATTTATTTTCTTTAAGTGACAAATTTTATCTTTGTTCCTGTATTATATTTATTTATTTCCTGCAATGTTGCTGAATATATTTTGTTTAAAAAAGCTGAATATATTTTATTTAAGTGACAAATTTAGTCCTTGTTTCAGTGTTTTGTAATTTAACTCTGGCTGAATACAAAGGATGCAGTCACAGTCATTATAAATTAGTAAAATTGTCAGTGTGTCCTGTGATCTGATATCTATTCTCACAGAACCACTAGCTTAACATTCCATCCAAAGGAGCAAATTAGAAGAAATATGAAAGTACTTTCAAGACATAGGAATTTGAATACAATAGGAGCTACTGCTAACATGATACAATACTATTTATTTATTAGGAAGAAATCAGAAATGAGTCTGAAAAACCAAAAGAGAAGACAAAAAAAGCAAAGCGGCAAGATATTGAAGAATTTGATGAAATGGTATGTTTTTAGTCAGATAATATTGTTGTAAATCAAAACATTATTATTATTAATGTGAAGCCCAGATCTAAACTCAACTTGGGCTATGTTCAGACAGAACGACTAATACTGTACGCTAGTGTAACGCTAATCGAGTGGTGTGAGCTTGTGCGCGGCGTAACGAATGCTAGTCTTAACCTGCAGTCACTGGCGTACTGTAATCCAAATGAGATCCAAACAGATCCCAGATTACTGTACACCACTGAGTTACGACAGTCATTCATTATTGATTTCGAACTTGAAGGAACCGACTAATCGCAATAAGCCTAGATGTAAACAGAAAATAAAATGTGTGATTACGAATACAAATATTTTGTGCGAATACTTACACTAGCATTCATTAATTCCCCAGTCTGAACATCTTGCTAGTTACGCCATAGATTAATGTATGCCCAGCATTAGATAGGTCTGAACGTAGCCTCATTTTTGTTCAAGAAGGATTGGCTTATACTAGATGAACTATAATAAAAATAATATTAATAATAATATTACTTAACAACAGAATAATTGAGGTTTGCATAATGTGCCAGTATTGTACTTTAGTACAGGGAAGCTGTAATACTTTAACTCATAACTTCCAGTAATTGACCTATCAATTTAAAACTTATAATGTGAAGAGTATGAATATAATAATAAGTAAGTTTTTTTTTGTGTTGGTCACTGTAATGCTGGTTTTGTCATAGCAAACCCTAATTGATTTTTTGTGTGCGAAAAACACAATTCAACAAACGGAAAAATAATTCAGCGTAAATAGATAATCTGTAATCATTATATTTTATATTTTTAGTTATTTTAATTATTTTTTGCAGGAAGAATACATGCAGTACATGAGAGATAATCCTACCGCAGGATTAAATGCGCCAATGGATGATGATGATCTCATAGAGTATGATGCCGATGGCAATCCTATCATTCCCGAAAAGTCCAGAATCATAGACCCGTTACCGAGCATTGATCATTCTGAGGTGAGCTATATCAATGCTCAAGGTTAGAACACATTTAAAAAATCTAATAAAAGTAATCATGAAATACAGTTCTCCCTCCAATTAAAGACCACTTTTGGGACCGGGGTTTTCATGGTCTTTAGCAACTTTGGTCTCCAATTAGAATAATAAAGATAAAAGACAAAAAAATTGTTAATTTGGGACAACAGAAAAGTGGTCTCTTATTGGAGGGGTCTTTAATTAGAAGGAGACCTGTATTTATAGTCTTGAAATACTGCGTGAAGCACTTGGTAGCCTGTCAACAATGCAAGCTGGTGTATCATTTTCTAGTTTCTGTTCAATTTCCTTTGAAGTTTACAATATTTTAACTACTTGAAATCATAATTCAGTTCTGTTATTAATTATTTTAGTATACATTTAATTCTTCATTCATATTTATACTTTGCATGATTTATTTCAGATTTATTATGACGCATTTAATAAGAATTTTTATGAGGAGCATGCTGACATTGCTAGGCTGTCATATCTTGATGTAATGGATCTTAGGAAGAAGCTAGGGATTAAGGTAGGGGAGATGTAGATTACAGTATGTTCATTTGGAGATCATATTAATTTAATGGTGTTTTTTTGACATATGTTATATATATTGATTGTGGCTTTTTAGATAGAGGCTAACCAATGAATAAATGAATGAATAAATAATGGTGAATAGTGGTGTTGATAATAATGACAGTGATGAGAAAAAAATTGTAAATTTACTTTGAATATTGTAAAGAAATAACAATTTAAGTTATCTGCAACACCTAAAGATGTATTTTAACTTCACCATATGTGAATAAATACTTTTCTAGGTGTCAGGAGCAGATCCTGCTAAACCTGTCTCCAGCTTTGCTCATTTTGGGTTTGATGAGCAATTAATGCATTATATCAGAAAATCAGAGTTTTCATCACCAACACCTATCCA